TTTAATCAAATTTATATAGCTGTTGCAATTTTAATTTTAGCAAATAAGTTACAAATTTTAATTTTAGCAAATAAGTTACACTGATTATTAGCTTCTATAACAAAATAATAGGATTTTAAAAAGCAGTCTTGAAACAGAGTAGTTGAATTTTGCTTTATTAAAAAGCAGTCCTAAAACAGAATACACAAATTTTGCTAGTCTCCACTTTTAAAAAACGGACAGGGTCCTTGGAGAAATGAATAATGCCAGAGCTAGGGCAGGTAGAGAACAACATGAAACTATAATATTGTTCTTGGCAGGAAGAAAGAGTTCAAAAAAAAAAAGACAATGGGCAGGAAGGATTCAGGAGAGGTATATTTGTCAAAAAAAAAAAAAGAGAGAGAACCAACTTGATGTGGCTCTCATTGGCCAGAAACTGGCACAAAAATAGATTTAACCCGTGAATAGAGAATCCATAAGTACATACTAATAAAAAAAATAGCTCAATCATGAAGATGGTAGCTATTACTCACGATAAAAATACTGATTTTTAATAATGAATGTAGAAAATCATAAACGTAAGTTAAAAGTTGTAGGTGAATTTTTAATGTAGATATCCTGTTCCCCAAATAATTCTCACAAATTTCATATCACAAAAGGATAAATATTAATTTTCACAAAGAAATATGGAGACTATCAAACACCTCAACTTCTTTTTCAAAGCTAACATCACCAACATTAAGACAACCCAACATCACAAAACTTCAAGATATGATGAAGTGAGGACAGGACATCTCTTCTGAGGTATCCTTGTCAAAACTGTATAACTAATCTAATCATGAGAAAGCAACAAATTCAAGCTGAGGGATATTCTACAAAATAACTGCCCTGTACTTCTAAAGAAATGTCAAGGTCAAGAAATACAAGAAAGGCTGAGGAAGAGTTCTAGAATAAAAAGGGACTAAAGACATAAGGAAGTGCAATGCATGACTCCAGACTGGTTGGAAGGTGTAAGGAGGTAACAGATGAATAGATACAATTTGGGTATGGATCATGAATATAATCTTATATCAATGTTAAATCTCCTAGTCTGAACTATGATACAGTAGCCTGGCTGTACTGTGATTAAATTCAGGAAATTTAACAGTGGTTAAACAAGAGCTATTTCAGTAGTTAACTAAACAATAGTTGGGTTTTATAAGCCATGACAGTATTCTTTGTTTTATACACATAAGCACCGTCTCCAAATTACCCTCAAGTGGTTTAAGATTCCCCTGTTAAGACACATTCATGAGCATGAGTGCGCACGCGCGCACACACACACACACACACACACGCATGCACACTGACATTAAACCAGGACAAGCAAGGAACTATGAGACCTGATACCTCCAGTTGTTGTGTCCCCTTCTGAAAACAAAAACAAAAACTTGGCCTACTTCCAGATCACATATCTTGATACAATCTTCATAAAGTTTCAGTATACATTAATATTCTTCTTTTGTCCTGGCTTTAAGTTATCAGATACTAATTAATTATACCATATACTCAAGATCCAGATCATCACTGAATATGAGTTTTAGGGTATTATTCACCAAAACCGATCAGCACCTGATCATCTGTTAGGTAAGCAGATTCAACATTACAACATTGTATAGAATGATTATAGAAAACTTAATTATAAAATGCACTATGCTCTAAAAAGAGCTATTAACTATATTAAGAAAAAAAAGACATTTTTTAAAAAAATACACAAATAACCAGAGTTGTTACAAATCTAATTTAATGAGATGTGTTCCACAAATACGGAAAATGTTTTCTGTATCGAGACATCACTGGTAACTAAACTACTTAAAACGTTTCTCTGTGAAATTAGAATAGTTAAGCATGAGTTGTTATTAAATGAATAATGAATGACAGACTAAAAACTGATATTGAAAATCTCACTGGTATCTCAACACTAATTTGCTCTACAACTCTTAAGATGCTACCTACAATTTCCATATCACTTAAAAATAAGACTTTTGGTTCATTTTCTTACCGACATCAAGAGGGTTAAAAGTTATTTTAAGCACTAAAGCACTAACTCTTAAAGATGCAGAAATATGTACCCATTTGCAGCCATGAAGTAGTAGAACTTAGGAAAAGAATATGGTTACTTGTAACTATGTTTACAAAGTATTTAATGTAACAAAACTAACACCAGCACAAGTAACTAAAATTACTAATCTCAATTCACACTAGGAATGAGTGCTTTTCATGTAAGATACCAAAACCCAAAAATCAACAGGTGCACATTCCATTTGGAAAGAGTTGTACTGCCGGGCTGAAGAAACAGCACAGTCCGTAAGGTGGTGATCTTGCACACAGTCAGCCTGGCTTCCGTGTCTGGCACCACTTGTGGTCCCTGAGTTCTGCCAGGAGTCATCCTCCAGCACAGAGCCAAGAGTAAGCCCTGAGCAGCACTGGGTGTGGCCCCAAAATAAAATAAAATTAAAAATAGATAAATAAAAAAATAAAAGTTCCATTTTAAAATAACAACAAAATCCAAGTATGATAGTATGACACAGGAGGTCTCCTGACTAGGAGGACTGAGTACTCTAGGAAAAAATTTCACGAATATAATTAGATCCCAAGGGGGGAAAAATTCCTTTCAAATATAGTACAATTACGTAGTACATAAAAACATGATACACAAACCGTCTATAAGATATTTAATATTAACCCAATTTTCAATGACTTGCATTGGTAAACCAAAGATACTCAGATTCTCCTTTCTATAAAATCTAATTGTCCTTAAAACTGACTATTTTTCAAAAGCTACGTTTGATACTTAAAGATCTTTTATATATTTAAAGTATCTAAATAAGCAAGAAAATGGGCAGAAAACACTAAACTGTTCTAAAAATACAAAAACTGACCAAGACCTGAAAAACAATAATAGGATGGGCGAGTGTTGTTACAAGGCTGTCAGTGAGAAATCTTTACACATAAGCAATCACGAAATGGAACCGTCTTCTATTCAAGAAGCACCACAACATTTCGCTAATAATTTTTAATTCAATAGATCTTTCGAGCAAGCTTATAACACAGAAGGTGTGCATCACTGAAAAACACGTGTGTACTGCATTCAACTCACCAGGAAACGTCCAAATCTATCCTTCGCCAATGGTCCCCTTTGTCCCGATTTTTTCACCCCAACTTTCATAATATAAAAAGTACGTGCGATTTTACATTTTTTTAAGAACTAAAATGATAATCCTCGACTAAAACTGTCTCATTCTTCCCTTTAAGACATGCCCCCCCCCATCCCCCAAACCACCGTGAAAAAACCCAACCCGTTGTCTAAGGATGAAGAGTCAGTGGATCCAACACACGGTCCAACACACGGAAGGGTCCCCAATCAGAGCGGTCCCCGCATCTGACGCGCTCCCCGACAGCCCGGGGATCCTGCACGGCCCCTTCCGAAGCGCAAGTCGCGCTCCATTCTGCCACCGGGAGCCAAAGTGCCCGCAGCAGGAAACAAGATCTTGGGGACGCAGCGAGCCGCCCACCCGAGGGGCAAGGGACGAAAGGGGCGCGAGGGGGCGCAGGGACCGCTGGAAACGGGGCGCTGCGAGAGTCGCCTTCTCGTGGTGCCGAGGAGCCTCCCCGAGTCCCCAAGCCGAACCCAAGCAAGGCGCCGCGGCCACCCTCCCCGCCACACCCGCACCCCCCAGACCCCTGGGGCTCCCTCCGAACCCACCTGCTGCCCGAGCAGCGCTCTGCTCCCGCGCGGCGCTCCCCGCGCGCGCACACGTACACACACACACACACACACACACACACACACACACACACACAAGCACCCACAGAAACCCCCCAGGGAAGGCGACAGCGGCCGGGAGGGGTGTCCCCTGCACCCCACTTCCCGGCGACCGGGGCTGCCCGCAGAGTGATAGTCCCGGGAGCCACGAAGTTTGCCGCCCGCCCGCCGAGAGGGACAAGGCGACTGGGCAGGCGAGAAAGGGATGCGGGATGCGGGATGCGGGATGCGGGATGCGGGATGCGGGATGCGGGATGCGGGATGCGGCGGGCGAGGTGCGCGAGGTGCGGAGGTGCGCGTTCGGCGCAGGGCTCGGACCCCGGGCACCGAGGCTGGAAGGTGGCGATGCAAGGGGGGGGAGCCCCAGACGGGGCGCGGGGCGGGGAGGAGACACCTGAGCCTCAGGGAGTCCGCGAGGCGAGCAGGGAAGGGAGGGGGCGCGGCTGGAGGGCAGGGTACCGTCGCCATGGCAACGCCCCCCCCTCCGTCCCGACTTCCAAAGAGGGAGGAAGAACTTCAAATCCCAACCGTCAGCGCACGAACGGCTCCTTCTTAAAGGGGCACACACCGCGCCGCGGCCGAGCGCGAGAGGGCAGAGCGGGGCGCCCCCCGCCCCTCGGGCGCCGCCCCCCGCGAACGCCCGCCCCGGGGGGCGCCCGGCCGGCTCCCGCTCCCCGGCGTCGCCGGCCCTCCCGCAGGTCGGGGCGCCCGGGACCGCCGAGCGTGCGTGCGTGTGTGTGTGGTCAGGGAGGGGGTGCGGCCGCGGGGGTGCGGACCCGCTCGCCGTCCTCCCCTCCGGCCCGGCCCCGCGTCCTCCCCGCCTGACAGGCACGGGGGTCGCCCGGCCGGGGGGGGTGGGGGGGCGGCGGCGGCGGAGTTGTCCGGCCGGCACGCGCAGGCGGTTTCCCTCGGGGCGCGGCAGGCGGGCGGGACCCGGGTCCGAACCGTCCCGGTTCCCGGGCCGCCCGGAGCGGGGCCGGGACGCCGAGGGGGAGCGGCGCGGCGCGGCGCCGGGCGGAGCGGCCCCCCGCCCCCGGCAGACAAAAGGCGGGCGCCGCCGCGGCCGGCCCGCTCGCCCCGCCACCCCGCCGGCTGCCCCGCACGGGCGCTCCAACTCCGGCCCGCCGCCCCCGAAACTCCGCGGGCTGCGGCGCCGCGGCCGCGCCGCGCCGGGCTCCCCGCGCCCGCCCGCCCGCCGCCCGCGCCGCTCGCTTACCTACACAGTGCATGAGGCGGTGGCGCCAGGAGTCGAGCTCCCGCCGGAATCCCCTCCTCTCCGCCGCGCACCGCGGGCTCCGGCACTGAGCGGCGGCGGCGGCGGCGGCAGCGGCGGCGGCGGCGGCAGCGGCCATTCTCTCTCTTCCCTTGTCCATCTGCGTCCCGCGTCACGCGCCCTCATTTACATACGAGCGGCGCAGGCACGAGGCAGGGGCGCGAGCCCTCGGCGCGAGCCCCGGAGCGCGCGCCCCCCGGAGGGGGTTGATTGACACGTGTCACTACCTTCCCGCCGCCCGGCCCCGCCCGCCCCGCCCCGCCCGCGCCCCCGCCGGGAGCCGCGGCGCGGGCCGGGCGCGGGGCGCGGGGGCGGCGACCGGCGCGGCCGCCGACCCCGCCTCCCCGCTCCCCACCCCGGAGCGGCCGCGGGCGAGCCCTGCCCGCCCGCGAACGCCCCGAGCGGGAGCGGGAGCGGGAGCGAGGGCGGCTCGGAGCCCGGCCGGGAAGCCGCGTGCTCGCGGGGCCGGACCGGCGACGCCTCCCTCCGGCGGCCCGCCGCGCCGCGGCCCGCCGCCCGGGAACTTCACTTCCCAGACTGCTCCGCGCCCGGGGCCCGAGCGGGGCCGGCCGCCGCGGCCGCGGGGCATGCTGGTCTTTGGAGTCCGGGCGGTCTCGGAGCCGGCGCGCCGCGCGACCGACCGGGAGCCTTGGGTCCGCTGCTCCTCGCGCCCAAGCCCCCGGCTTGCGCTCCCTGCCGGGTCCACCCAACGGCGGTCGTCGTATTCCATCCGACACCGGGATGGATGGACTGTGGAAACGGCCAGAACTGCAGCCCCATGAGCGTTCCAAACTGCCTTCGTGCTCTAAGTTCAGAAAAGTTTTGGTGGGGGGTGAGGGGGCGGGGCGGAGCGGTCACCGCTACCCCGCCCCCGCAGGCAGAGAGCAAGTGGACTACTTATTTGCATCCTGATCGTTGCCAAAACATCCCTAGATCTATCGGTGACTTTGCTTTCCAGGACTAAGAGATGGGAGAAAGCGAGAGGATTTGCAATGATTCGAGAAAAGCTCCAGGGCTTTCATCCAAATTGATTCCGGGAGGTTGGGTGTGGTTCACTGGAAACTCCCGAAGGGGGCCTTTTTATGCTCAGCAGAAGTTAAACTTGGGCTGGACAGCGACCCGCTGACACGTCTCTATCGCGACATCATCCACCTGCTTGACCCCAAACTGTGTGGCGTCCGTTTGAACACTCTGCAAGTATTGTGAAAAGAATTCGTAGCTGTGCTAGGGCAAAAAATCCTTTTCTTCTTCAGAAAGAGAAATCTTTTGAATTAACGTAACAACAATGACATTTTGAATTAATCATCAGGGTAATTGGTGCAAGTGTTTCTATATACAAACTGGGGACTTGAACCGATGCCAAGATACCAAAAGGTTTGTGGAGTACTGCACATTAGTGAACATTTATCCCAGTCTGGGAGAAACACATTCCAATTCTTGTTGGAAACGTCCATGAATTCTGAGTTTAGTTTCACCCTCGGTTTTGTTTTCTTTTAATTTATCTTTATCCTCTTTTTTTTTCTTTGCTCATACCTTACTAGTGAAGATGTAGTTTTGCATTTTCAGTTTTTAAAACTCCGTTTTCAGTTGCAGTTTTCATGATAACCTTTTTTAGCAAGGTCACAATGGAGAAAAGCCAAACTATTCACATAAAGGCGCTTTTGGAAATGTCGGTGGCTGGTTTCTGTCACTTAGTCCACTCATCCCACACTGCCACAAAGATCAGCCACTGAGGTTTCCTGATCACGGTTACAGTAATTGACATTAGTGAGAATGAACTAGGGGATGGTGCAAAAACAAAAACACGAGAGCTCAAACATTTTTAGTCCTTTAAAAAAACAACACAAACTGTTTCTTGCTTATCTTCATGTTCGTTCAAGGAGAAGTAGAGCTGCGAGCAGTTCACTTACAGGGTTCTTACCCAGCAAGAGAAAACTTGGGAGACTTGCACTTATGAGCTGTCATTCACTTGCTTAATAGGCAGAGACAAGAAGAGTGGCAAACTGGTTCTTCCCGAAACTGTTACAAGTTGATTCCATTCATGTTTCCTTGACAATAGTAAGTCATATGAGGATGTCTGTCTTCAAAAGAGCAAGGAAGTGTAATTCTACTGTTTGCCCAGAAGAAAGATAACCAGACTATACTGGTGAAGGCCACCAGTGATCACTGCAATCCATCCTTGCAGTCACCAATTTACATTTTCCCTCTCCTTACGCTACAACTACATTTAGTCTTATTACAAGTGAGACAGCCCAAATGTTCTGTGCAGTACTGGCATTAATCTCAAATTCCAGCATCTCCAGAAGATGTTTGGTTGTCCCTATACTAGGACCAAATAAAGCTTGTATTGTTACAACTGCTCGAAAAAGCAAAGAATCTATTCTCCCAGCCCCTAAAACACACACACACACACACACACACACACACACACACACACACACTATGGGACAGGGTCAGAATAACCAGGGTAAACATTCCTATTTAGGAAGGAAAATAATGGGAGTCACACATGAATAGTTTTAGCAAATATTTTACCATAACAGCATGGTTTGCCAACTTTTCAGCCTCTCACAACAGCTTCCTTGTCACCACCCACTGAGCTTCTAAGTCACAGTCACATATTTTAGGTTTTCTGTCAGAATTGTACTTTCTAGGCACTGAATTCTACATTAGTCAGAAAAGACTAGGTTAAACCTTGCAACAGAAATTCCAAATGTAAGGGATTTAATACAAAGGTTTTTTCCTGACTTTCATTTTTTTCACACTCCAAAAAGTCGGTGTGGGGAAGACTGGGAAAACTGTTGCATGTCAAATGGTTTAAGTCTCCCAACATCTGGAATCTTCCTAGCCATCATGATAAGCGTGAGAAGATACTAAACCACAATCATGTTCTTAAAGGCATCTGTCACATATGACTTTTTATCAGGTGAAGGAGATCGTATGGTCATGTTCAACTTTAAAGGAGAGATGTTGCAGACAACTTAGATACAATGAAAAGCCACTTCCAAAACGTAACAGCTTAAACCAGCAACTGTTTATTTAGTTCGTGGTTATATAGAATGGCAATCTGTGTTAGCCTCAGCAGGGAAGTTTTGCTAGAGTGGCCTGGTCCCACTCAGGTGGTTATGATCCACTGAGGCAGCTGTTTCTGAGGGGCAGCTGTTATACCACTGTAGCCAGATGAGTTATCCTTGGGGCAGTGACCTTTGGAGCAGTTAGCCCCAAATTTGAGGAAGAAATTTGAAGAAGAAATGGAAGATCAGAACTACATATAATAAAATATACAAAAAGTGTTAACTTTGGATTTAAAGGTTCAGAAATGTTTCTCTGAGTATCAAAAATTTTCTCTGAGTACCTACTTAGTACCAAAACTACTCTTTGATGGGAAGTATCACAGAGTATATTATATAAATAAAATCACTTAGTTTTAGTGTAAAGCTCTATGAATAATAGAGATAGGAGTCTTACGTCTTCTTTAGAAAGCTATTCTATTTTTTTGCAACAAAACCAAACTATAGTAGCACCGAAAAATACATATGTAATTATAACTTATTGGCCTATAGCACAAAAATAATATGCATAAGTATTTGTGAATTTGGTAGTTGTAATTATAAGACAGGACTATAAGATGCTTTGAAAATCATAAAATGATTAATAATGCATTATTAATTATTTTATAAAACCATTATTTGCTTCTTCAAAAGTATTGATCTTCACTATATTTTCTTTAGTTCTGAACTGTAAAGCACTGTATATACCAGAGATCCAAATGACAGGAATTGGGGCCAGGGACATGGCTCAAAGGTTGGAATGAATGCTTTCCATACAGGAAACCTGGGTTCTATCCCCAACACTGCAAGTTCCCCAACACCATCAGAAACAACACATGAGCACCAAGAAGGTGGTAGCTCTGAGCATCACTCCCAAACAAACAAAAACAAAAAATAATAAAATAACAAAGATAAATGTGTGCTACCAATTATTAAGGGTATGAAACATAGCCCCCTCCCAGGAAATTTCTCATTAGCCACATAATCATGCTAAATTTTACACCAATATCTAATTTAATTTATCTAAACTTATTTATTTAAATTAGATGAGTTAAAGATTTCTCAGTATTCTTTCTCATGAAATTGTAGACATTCAGTTCATCATTGTCTCAGATATTCATATTGAGTGATGTGTATCCTTTTGATACTCAGTTAATAATATCTAAAGCGATAGCATAGCAGGTAGGCGTTTGCCTTGCACACGGCCGACCTTGTGGGCCCAAGTTCGATTCCTCCACCCCTCTCGGAGAGCACGGCAAGCTACCGAGAGTATTTCGCCCGCACGGCAAAGCCTGGCAAGCTCCCCGTGACATATTCGATATGCCAAACACAGTAACAACAAGTCTCACAATGGAGACGTTACTGGGCCCACTTGAGCTATTTGATGAACAAGGGGAGGACAGTAACAGTGACAGTGATCTAAAAGTAGTTAAATGTCTTTGTCTTCCTGAAGTTCTTCTCAATATCACTAATACTGGTTTTGTATATTTTATAAGGAATAAAGAAGAAATTTCACAGAAAATATGAACTAAAAAAGTAAAGTGATGATGCATGCAATGCCTTGTCTTGCCATGCTTCTCTATTTACTGTTCCAAAACTGTCTTTTATTTTAAATGCCCTTAATAGAAGAATGAAAATAACAGTTTTTTCAGTTCTGTCACTCATTTCAGGGCAGAATCTCAGAATTTTGTTCTTTTTATTCTTTCTGTAATTCAACTCTTCGGTATTTAAAAAATATTGCTGTCACCCTCTTCATATTCAGTATTTTATAGGCGTACACAAGTTTTGGAGAATTAGAAAGACTAAGGTGTGGGAATCGTTAATACTGAAGTGAGGGTAAGCAAGTTTTCTGAGTTTCTTTTCATAAAAGGATACACTTTTGAGCGTGGCATCTGCATTTAATACCATTTACCATTTATTTTCTCATGCAGGCAGATGATAATGGGATCTGATCTACCACAACTCTTTTTTGTGCTCACTTGCAATCACTCACCCAGCCTAACTCATTATTATCACTTTCATTTTCACTCTTTTAATAAAATGTCAATGTATTATATGCTTAATGATGGCAATTTGATCCAATTTAGTCCAATTGCATAGTTCAGTATCAAAGTCAAATTAAAATGTGATCTTTAGCACCTACACTATTAAAGTTTAGAGAGAGTACAGAGCATTTATGTCCATC